GTAAAGTTAAAGGAGTTCATCATCACCAAGCCCTTACTATGTAAAATGTTAAAGGGACTTATTTAAGAAAAAGAAGATCAAAAACTATGAACAATAAAATGACAGCAAACTCACAACTATCAATGACTGAACCTAAAAAAAGAAACAAAAACAAAATATGCAAACAACTACAACAGGAACAGAATCACAGAAATGGAGATCAGAGTCAGGGGGCGGGGAATGGGGGGAACAGGTACGGGGAATAAGCAGCATAAATAATAGGTACAAAATAGGCAGGCGGAGGCTAAGAGTAGTATAGGGAATGGAGAAGCCAAAGAATTCATCCGTCAACCCATGGACGTGAACTAAGGGAGGGAGAGGGGCAGGGATGCTGGTGGGAAGGGGGTGCAAGGTGGAGGGGAATAAAGGGGAGAAAAAATGGGACAACTGTGATAGCATCATCAATAAAATACATATTTAAAGAAGAAGAAAACCACTGAAGCTACAAGATATCCTCTACTCAGCTTCTCCGTACCAGGCTCCCTTTTTTTTTTAATCTATGTATCACTGTCTTGTTGCTAAAAAGGTGTGAAACGGCCTGGAGAAGCGATTCTCAACCCCAGCCACTTGCTTGGCTCCCTGGGGCGCTTTGGGAACATCGTCCATCTCAGGACACTGAAAGCATGAGGTGGTGGCACCCCGCAGCGCACAGCTGGAAAAGAATCTCCCCAGTGGTTCTGATTAAAGTAAGGCAGGCAAGTTGAGAATCCCTCGCTTACAGAAATACACTCGACTGCTACGTAACGAAAAATAAGTAAATGAAAAAACACAGGCAACAGGGAAACGGAAGGGGGGAAACAGCGTAGCCGGGAAACAAGGTTACACTCCGCACCCCAGGCCACACTAGAGCTAAGACAAACTACTGGCTTTGAGCTGGGCTTCCTGGCGGCCAACACAAAGAGGATTCACTGTCTAAAACAGCGATTTTCAACCTTTTGCATCTCATGGCACAGATAAAGTAATTACTAAAATTCTGTGGCATACCAAAAAATATATTTTTTGCCACTCTCACACACAAAAAAAATAGGTATAATTTTGAGTCCGTCACACTGGACAGCTACTGTTGTGTTGGCTGTTGTCACTTTTTTATTGGACAGCCTAACGGAAGAGCTCCGTGCCCCTGACTAAATAGTCAGGTATTGCACGTTTTACCGATGCTCGCCACAGCACACGGGTTGAAAGTCACTGGTCTACAAGACAGCAACAAACCAGAGTCACGGGAGCCTCTTGTGCTTGGCCCGGGCCCTGACTCGAACGCCTCCCTCGCGTCCTCCAACGGGGGTGCTCGGCGTGACGCAGTGCAGACCGTGCTCCCCACCCTGTGGCCACACCGCCTGGGCTGGCACTGGGCCTCTTCTCGCCCCCACGGCAGCCCTGAGGAGGGCACCCTCCAGTCAGTGCTGGGCTCCTTAGGGTCCTCCTGCAAACTCCGTGCTGCACATAAACCCCTAATGAAACGCATCGCCTGCATAGAAAACACAGGCCCAAGTCCATGTCATCATCCACACCAATAGCAGTGCACCTACCCGGCCATGAACTCCAGGAACTGCCATGAAAACACAAGGACACACTCTATTTTACTATGTAAATAAGGGTACTGACTCAGTTTCCAGGAAAAGCTCTTCTGCCATGACTGTCATGAAAACACCAAGGACACCAAGTCTGCCCCCGTAAGTCGGGGGGCGGCAGAGTCCCAGAGACTGCCAAGCATTTCCAGCGGTGCTGGTGCTCAGGGAGGCCGCTGACCACCCTCAGACCCGCCGCTGTGGTCTCTCGGGTCTAAGAACAGGGTCTGTCCCCCAGGAGGCAGCCTATTAAGTAGGCCTCGTGGCCACCAAACACAAAACCCAATCAGGGGAGACCTCTGGGCCACTTCTGGACCGACACACGGTCGTGCACGGTTTTCTGTTATGCACATGACACTTCAGCGGTAAGTTCTTTTTATTGTGTGTGTTGAAATCAATGAAATAAAGAGTAAATCACCCTCCTGCTCCCGCATACGTGACATTTTCTTTTCGATACACACACAGCACATTTCAAAGTCAGCACTGAGGAGTTAAAGTGGCAACCACTCACAATTGCCAAAAGTGGAAAGAGCCCAAGTGTTCATCTGCAGATGAATGGGTAAACAAACTGTGGTCTAGCCACGCCATGGAATATTATTCAGCCATAAAAAGAACAAAGTACTGACCCAGGTACTACATGGGTTTACCTGGAAAACACAACGCTCACATACTGGATGGTTCCATTGCATGAAATGTCCAGCACTGGCCCACCCACAGGGACAGAAAACAGATGCATGGGCCCCCCGGGGGCTGGGAGGCAGAAGGGGGTAGAGGGGGACGGTCAGGTGGGTACAGGCCCCCGTGGCGGTGGGAACCCCGGGCACTAGGCAGCGCCGAGGGTGGCACCGTGCTAGAGTGTGCCAGGGCCACCGGTTTCTGCACTTTAAAACGGTTACCGTGGTAAATTGTATGTATATTTCACAGTGAAAAAATTAAAATAGCAAAACTTTCATTGTTCTGCCCTAATATAAATGCTAATAAAATTCAACTTAAGTCAAGATTTTGTATAAAGGTGATTATGCCACAATTGGAAAAAAAAACAGCTTCAACCCCAGGACATATTAAATCAGAATAAGAACTGCTGGTAGTCAGTGCTGACTTTAAAAAGTTTCCAGAGTCTTTATCTGTTAGATACATACTTGAAGCATTTGTCACCTAAAAGAGGCCTGGGATCCATGCTGAAATAATCCAGTGGGGGGAGGGGACCTAGATTAAAACCGTTGAAGCTGAGGGATGGGGTGCACCTGACTCTTCTATTTTTATGTATTAGAAACCCTCCCTAATGAGAAGTTTTGCCTTGTTTTCAAGCAGGCTTCCAAAGATCTTTGACACGCGGGATAAAGAATTCAGCCTGTCCAGCGCGGGTGTCGGCCCAGTGGCCCTTGGGATGTCACCAGGCCCCAGGTCAGGCCGCCACTGTCTGGCGCAAGGCGGTATCTAGCCTAGTCCTTCACAGAGCAAACCAATCTGCTGTCCTGGCTGCCTGCCCCGAGGTCAGCTGTCACCGGGGGTCGAGGCCATGCCTGGAAATGAGGAAACCTCCCCCACACACGCCTTTAGCAGGCCCCCGAGTCCCTGACCACCGCAGACACTGCTCCCCTTCAGGCCAGCCCCTCCGCTAGATGCAGGAAGAGGTTAGTGTCACGACTGCCTGTTATTTCCCCTCCTCCCTCTGCTAGAATTGGATTGGCGGGGGGGGGGGGGGGGGGGGGGGGGGCGACAGGCTGCTCTGTCTCATTCCCTATTGTCTAGGCAAGTATGTGGCACATAGCGTATATTCGTCTAAATGCTTACTGTGTGGATCCTGATTTTTGATGGATGCTGCTCCAAGGGCACATTATGAAGACTTGCCTTTTACAAATGCAAGACATGGAAGATAACAGGATGTATTTATTGGGTTGGCCAGAAAGTACATTTAGCTTTTTCCATAGGATGGCTTTAGTAGTGCTTAGTTGTCTTTAGCTTCATTTGAAACAATTTTTGTTAGATTGTATTGCAACAGCTATCATATCAGGGTGCATTTTTAAAAAACCTATGGACATTGGTGAATTTTTGTGCAGCCATTTTAATATTGAAGATGGAAGAAGATACACAACATTTTTGGCGTATTATGCTTTATTATTTCAAGAAAGGTAAAAACACAAAAAAAGATTTGTGCAGTGTAGGGAGAAGGTGCTGTGACTAACAGAACATGTCAAAAGTGGTTTCTGAAGTTTGTTGGCACTATTGACATTTTGGCCAAATACTTCTTTGCTGTGGGACTGTCTTATGCATTGCAAGATATTTAGCGGCACCCCCGGCCTCCACCCTAACTAGAAGCCAACAGCGGGAGAGGGCTGACACACTCAGAATGTCCAAATCAATAAAGTTATTGGTGAAAATGAAAAACGTGTCTTTTATTTTATGGAAAAAACTAAACGGATTTTTTTGGCCAACCCAAGAGTAGTGCTGGGTGCCAGAAAAGGAGGGGACAGGAAACAAGGAGCTGTGGCACAAACACCACCTAAAGTAGCATCAGAGGTGCTCCGAAGCTAGAGCCCTGGTCAGGGGCCAGGGGCACAGCGGGGACACGGCAAGGAGGGTGGCTGCGTGCCAGGCTGAGGTGGCCGGGACAAGGGTCTGGGGGCGGGAGGGGCCCCGGGGCAAGGGGAAGGGCACTGAGCGGGGCGAGGCGAGCCCCAGCCTCCGGGACGCCGGACGCTGCCGTGGCTGGTCTGGGCCCAGACAACGAAGGAAGATGAGTGGGCACCAGGGGCGGGGCGGGGGCTCCGAGGAACGGGCAGACGCAACCCTGTCCAGAGACAGCACCAACGCTGGTGCTGGCCCAGCGCTGCCCGGCAACAGCGCAGGCCCCCAGCTGCCAAGCGCTCCGATCTGCCCATGAAGCTGCGTGTCGGTGCTGTGTGAGGCCCCCTAATTTTCACGGGGGCAATGCGGAAGGCAGGACAGCGGCCTCCCAAAGATGGCCGCCCCGTCCTAGTTACAAGGCAAAGCAGAAGTGAGGTGGCAGATGGAGTTCAGGCTTCTAATCAGCTGACCTTAAAATAGGGAGGGGATCCTGGATTACCCAGGGGTCCTGCGCAGCGGACGCGGGAGGCAGGCAAGTCGGCGTCAGCGTGACACAGGGGAAGGACAGGACGAGCTGGCTCTGAAGATGGAAGGGTTGTGAGTCGAGGGCGCTGCAAAGGCGAGGAAACAGGTCCTGCCCCGAAGCCTCCAAAAGAAATGCAGCCCCGCCACGGCTTGCTTTTAGCCCCTAAGACCGGTGCTGAACTCCTAACCTATACTGTTGTAAGCTCTGTGTGTGGTAATTGGGTATAGCAGCCACGGGAAACTAATACGGCAACCAACTTTAATTTTTAAAAAGAGGCACTGTACAGCCCAAACAAAATGCACCTGTGGGCCGGGCCAGGCCTGGGCAACTTCTGTCCAGTCCACACGGCGGAGATCTGAGGGCCGCGCCCCGCCCGGGGACCAGCACCGAGCCTGCCGCACACTCTCCGACATGCATTCCAGGTTAACTGCTAGGTCCTGCACCTTTACAAACTGGTCATAGAATTCGCCAGGGATTTCTGGAAAACAAAAATGCTTGGCTGTAAGGAGTTCTGTTCCCAGGGACCTGTTACCCCAGCATGAGCACACTGCCTGGGCTCCCCAGGGACCAGAGGGGCTGGCCTGGAGTACAGGATGCAGCCAAGCCCTTTGCCACTCCGCCCCTCATGCAAACAGCCAGCAGTGAAAGCTTTTTCAGGCCCCGGGGAAACGCCAGTCCCTCCCGCCCCGCTACCCACCAGGCACTCTCCCACTCCGAGTGGCTCCTCAGCACCCACTGCAATGAGATCACTTTGGGTTTTTTTTAAACAGCAGAGAGACACTTTGCAAATAAGCTCTTTTTAGTTACCCACGTACAGACCAGAGCAGAGCTGCTCTGCTTAGAGGCAGCGCAAAGGACCCAGGTCTTGCCCACTTGCCACCGGAAAATTGTGTGAAAACCACAGCCCAGCCCAAACCTCACTATACTCCCCACCTGTCCTGCCTGGTCAGCTCTCGGCTCTGCCCCTGTCCAGCCCCTCCTCCTGGCTCACCAAGCCTGCCGCTTTGCCCTGAGGCCCTGGCAGAGCTCTGTCCCCTCGGCGCGCAGCCCTCCACGAGGATGCTGCTGCCCAGAGCTCCCACTCTTCCTTCCAGACTCACGGGCCGTCTCCTCTGGAGTCTTCCCTGACACCCAGGTCCACTCCCAGCGCCGGATGCCACCTTCTGAACCTCCCTCTCCAGGGACGGCCAGGGCTTGTTCCCACATCAGGAGCCACTCCCTGCAGACCATCAGCTACTTGCAGGCAGGAATGTGTCACCTATGTATTCCCAGACCACAGCACACAGTACTGTGTGCTCAACAGACATTAAAGACTGAATGAATGGGCCTATACACTAATTTTTTCTATACTACCATGAGTTACTGTGTTATGATGTTTATGAAATGTACCAGGTAAAACCTTACTTCTAATCTTTAATAAAGTGAATCTACCTAAATTAGGAACTCTAAATTACAACTATCTTAAAATAATTACTTTAAAGAACTCCGTTTTAAATTTTACAAGGAGTGTCCACGGCAGCCATCACAGCCAGGAGCGTGGGAGGAGCCTGCCTGCAGGCTGGGCCGCAGGGACGGAACTTGCAGTGCTGCACTTGGGACCAATGGCCAAACAGGTGGGTCACCATCTCCCTCCTTCCTCATCTTGTGCAGCCCGGGCCGCCACCTGATGTCGCCTCCCCTGCCGCCCGGCTCCCTGCTCCAGCCACCCAGTCACTCCACAGTCCTTGGGCCCCTGTCCCCAAACGCCGTCACTGCAAAGGTTGCTTGCTCTCTCAGCTCCAATCTCCTCCCACCTTTTAACCCATGACGCTCCCAGAGGCTCCCCCTGAGCCTCCAGTTCAGCTTTTCAGCCCAAACGGGCCACTAGAATTATCTGGAGAACTTTGGAAACCACTGCTGGGTCCCACCTCCATGGTCTGGAATGGGCCCTAACACACAGTTTTAGAAAAAGCTTTCCAGGCCCAGGGATTTGCAGGCGCACCCAGGGATCGGAACTGTGGGCTCCCAGGACCACCTCCACACTTTCGAGCCAGCCCTGGGGCCCAACCTCCCCGTAGAGACCCGCACTCAGGACTCTCTTCTCTCAGGCCTCTCTTCTCTCCGACACACACCCTTGTGCTGCCTCCTGAACCGCTACCCAGCCAGTCTGAGGAAGGCAGCCTGGCCGGGCGCTCGCCCACAGAAACGCTGCCACCTGGCAAGGCCCCTGGCCAGCTCCAACACTGAGCCCCTGCCCCCAGCACCACCACGTCCCAAGGACTTCGCCACGGCTCGGCCCTCTCTGCTCCCAGTGACCCCCAGGCAGGCAGCGCGGCCAGGGCCCACCCCACGCGTGGCCTCCTGCAGTTCCGTCCCTCTGAAGTGCCTTCCCACCTGCCTTCCACTCCTGAAACGACTGCCTGTCCTTTGAGGTCCAGCTCAAATCCTATCTCCTCCCTGTTATTTTGTCTTCTCAGTTAGGCTAAGTTCTTGGTGGCAAGAAACATAGCATTTCACTCACACCCATCATGAGTTGCCTATTTTCCAGACGGACACTGATCTCAAATATTCTGCCCGACTGCCAAGAAAACTGCCTTTGATTCGACGCTCATGGTTCTGTATCAACCAGACTGCCTTCCATAAAGGAGCATAAAAATTATTTCACTGCTCCTGTTTCCCAAATTTTCGGACCCAAAGTATTAGTTATTATACCCGGGACAACTCTGGGTGTCACACAGGCACTCGGGGAGGACGCGCTTTCAAACAGAAGTATGCCTTCCCCCGCATCAGGATTCTTGCACCGCTGACTGCGGGCGCGGGCGGGCGGGCAGAAGGGGGCAGGCTGTGAATGGTAACTTTAGCTCTCATCACTTATTCACCTCAGGGTCTGAAGGAGTTTATGAAACAACACATTCAAGTCCAAACCTCCAGGGCCTCCAAGGAGTGCGGGGCAGGTACTGACACATTGCTGTTTACCATCCCTGGGCTTGGGAACTGCGGGCGATTACCAAACCCTGGGAAAGCGCTCACGCCGGCCAACTCGCACCCTGCGAGATCAGAGAGGGGCCCCCGTTGCCAGAATCAAGCGTTCGCTGCCATGCTGAGGAAGGAGATGCTTTTATTTTTATTTACACGCATCTGTTTAAGACTATCAAGTGCTTCTGTGTGCGTCTGATCCCATTTTAACAATAGCATTACCAGAGGATTTTCAGTCCTTAATTTCCATGTGTCAGTAAAGAACCAATGTGTACCGCTTCAGGGTTACAGAGTAAAAGGAAATGATCCCTTTCCTCAAACTGCAATTTGGGCAATTATTTTCACACGGCTTTACAAACACCAAAAACCTTATAAACCCACAAAGACTTCCTCCTAGACAAATCAACTGGGGTTCCCCCGGCCCCTGCTCCCTCATCCAGGCAGCTCGGGGTCTCAGAATTCTGCGGCCCTGGGTGGGAAGGGGAGGTGTTGTCACAGAAACAGCTTCACGAGGCTCCAGAATCCGACGAGTGGGGGGCTGCACTCAGGGTGGACGTGCATGAGCAGGCTGGGCCCCTCTGCACCTCAGCCTGCTCGTCTGTGACATGCCGGCCTCCCACGGCTGCGGGGCGGGCGCCATGAGGCAGTGGCAGCACCTGGGATGGCCATAGGGTGAGGCAGTGGAAGCGCTGTGTTGGGAATCTGACACAGGAGCCGCAGATACCAGCCGGGGCACTTACTGACCCCTCTGAGCCTGTTTTTCCATGTGGGAGGGAGACCTGCTGACAGGCTTTTCAGAACCATGGTGAAAGTTACACTAAACTCTGCACAGACAAAGCAGCGGAGGGCCTGGCAAACAGGAGACGTTCGAAAACAACTCAGGGCCCACCAACCCCTCCCACGTTTGGTTTTCAAGGACCATCACTGCTGGAGGAAAAACATTTTTTTCTCCAAACTCTAAACAGCAAGGAATATTAAACCAGTCTGAATGTGAGGGGGAGGAGTGACTCCCACTAACGCCAGGGCCATCCCGAATGGCCCCTCCCCGCTCCCCTGCCCTTTCCCAGCTGCGCATCTGAAAGCCTTGACAGCGAGCATCTTGCCTGATGTGTGGGAATGACCTGGCTTTTTGAACAATCCTAAATTTACTGCCTCTTCGAAGGGCACTGACGTCTTACATTCCTCTCATTAAGGAAAACATCCCGACCAACCCCAGAGCGAGGAGGCCTGAGAGCACGGCCCAACGCCAGTCACAGGAGAACAGAGTGAAGACAGCTCTCTGAGAGGCCCAATCCCGAAGTGCCGGCCCGTCTCCGGAGCATCACTGAGGCACCTCGGGCAGAGGGGAACTGCCTGAGGTTCCCCACACAGCTGCCCGGCGCTGCCCTCAGATGCCTTCTCATTTAGTCCCCTGGGCCAGGGTTCCCTGCTCCGCTCCCCAGACCAGCAGCATCAGCAGCACCAGCAGCACCAGCAGCACCAGCAGCACCCGGAAACTGGTTGAAAAGGCACCCTCTCAGGCCTCGCCCAGACCTACTGATTCAGAAACCCCGGGGGCAGAGCCCAGCAACATGTCTGACAGGCTCCCTGGGTAATTCTGACGCTGGGTCTGAGAAACTCCACTACTTGGCTGCCAAGGGGTTATTATTAGCCCCACTTTAGAGATAAGGTAACTGAAGCTCAGTGGCTAACATGCCCAAAGCCCTGCAGCCAGGAGGCCAATATGTACCCAATCAGATTCCAAAGCCATTTGTCCCATGGCCTCTGTAGCGAAGTTGAAGTTGTCTGTACCATTCGGTGCTCTCAGCGATGGAGCCCCCAGGCTGCCATGAGGACATTATCTTAAGAGGTGGGAGTGAGAGGGAGGATGAGTCCTGTACTTAGAGCTGATTAATTATAGAGGCTGTTAAACCCACATCATGCATCAAGCCTCGATGGCCGGCAGGCCCTCAGGGTGAGCCTGCTCCTCCCTGCTCCATTTATCAGTGGAGTTGCCATCAAGAGAAAACGGGGAGTCCCTTCATTTACAGCCCTGTGTGCACCCCGTTCCTGCCCTGCTTTGAACAGGAAGAAAATGAAATCACCCGCTCTGTCTCCAGAGGGCTTGAAAGTGCAACCCGGACGCTGCCTAGACCAGGACCAGCAAGAAGACTCTGTGCCCAGGCAGGAAGCGGGGTCCCGCACCTGGGCACGCTGAGAATGAGTCACCAGAAAAAACCCAAGGGGCACACACAGGGCACCTTTTAACAAGGATGTGGATCTGGTGCAAGGGAGGCAAGTCTTTTTTCTTTCTTTCTTTCTTTTTTAAATCAAACCCTAAATCTACCATCCATCTGTTCAAGCTGTCCCTTAAATTCTTGACATGTAGTGTTTTCATAGACCATTACATTAGAAGAAAGAAATCTCCTCATTCACAATTCCCAGCCTTCTAAATACAGTTGGTGGTGATTTTCTGATCACGAGCTCATCGTATAATTTAAATGAGGACCCACGGTACTGGGGGCTTTCTACAGGAGCTGGAGG